AGTCTGAAATTCTCAGCAGCCAGGGTTGCAGCACACCGGGATCCTGGAAGTTTTGTCTTTCTGCCTGGGAGAAGTGTGAAACTAAGCTACAGTATGAGGCCACAGAGCAGCAGCTCTATAAGGACAGAGAATATAGAAAAGCAAAAAAGGGCAAACCCCAAAGGCCATCACTCCCCCTGCCCCACCTAGGGCCCTTTAATTAGCCGTTAATTGCCCCTGATTGGAGGGGGAGTGGATTATGTTCCCTGCCCTGGGGGTGCTGGGGCTGGTCCCCGGCGCAGCCCCCCAGACCCCTCCCAGCTCGGGCGCCTCGGTACCCCTGGCTGGGGACACAGGAGGCACCCCCAGACTTCAGGTGGGGCGTACAAAGGAGCCTCCTCAGGCACCCCCAGCACGGGACACCCCAAACTCTCAGTCCCTCCCGCCTGGGACACCCCCCGATCCCCTCGTGGCAGCCACACACCTCTCCTGTTTAGGGTACCCCAAATCTGTCCCCACTGAGGGGTGCCAGGGCCCCTCCAGGTCCCTCGTGCAGGGCACCCCAAGGACTCCCGTGCTCGGCCCCCCTCCCCTCCCGGCAGGGACTCCAGGAGCGAGGGACAGGGGTCACCCTGGCCCTGCTGGGGCTCCAGCACCTCCGGCTGTCCCCTCTGCCACAGGTGCCACTGTCCGGGCCCCACTGCCCGTGGGTGCCACTCTCCCGGGGTGTCCCTGTGCAGGTCCCTGTTTGCCACCACCCCAGGTGCCCCTGTGTCCCCAAGCCCTGGGTGCTCCTGGCTGTCCCCACACACCTGAGGGGCCAGGCCAGCCCTGCAGGGCCAGAATGAAACCCTGGTGGCCAGGTGCCACATGGAGGGCGGGTACAGCTGGGACAGAGTGACAGCGGGGTGTCCCAGTGAGGTGAGGGATCACGAGCATGGACAATGGTTTGGGTTGGAGGGACCTTAAACCCATTGGACAATTAGCTCCAATATGCAAATGGAGCAGAACTGATCAAAGTGAGAGACCCCATGACCAGCTGTCCATTTTGTGACCATTTTGGTTCATCTTGGATGCAGCCCTGGCTGGGCTCTTGTGCTGCCCCAGGTGCACCCACTGAGGCCTTTTAATGAATCCCCACTTTATTCTTCAGCTCTGTCCAGCCTCTGCTCCAGGTCAGCCCTCACAAGGCATCACTCACTTCTGGCACACACCAGCACGAGACAGAGCTGGGCCCATCCTGTGCCTGCTCTTGGTCCTTGGTGGCAGAGCGGGAGCAGCTCCCCTCCCCAGGCAGGGCTGAGCAGGACAAGCAGCAGCACAGCTGGGTGCTCAGGTGACACTGGACTCTCTTCTCACCTGTGCTGAGCCCCCTGCAAGGTGCTGCTGGCCACCAGGCTGGGCACCAGCACAGAGGTGACCCAGGGGACACCCAAGCCACCACAGCCCCTACAGCCACAGGGTGTGGAGCCCCCCAGATCAGAAATGAGCCCCCCAGACCCACAGGAAGGGGGTGAAGCCCCTCCAGCTCCCTCCAGAGCACGGTGGGTGGGACCCCTGCCCCTCACAGCCATGGGGTCTGACGCCCCTGCTGCTGCTGCCGGTGCTCCTGATGCCTTTTTCTCTGGCCATAAAAATACGAATCAGACACAGCCAGAGTGATCAAAGGGTACCTTTGTATGAGGAACCTCAGGAGCACACATCTGCCAGGTGGAAAAGGCTGAAGATGCACGGTGGGCCTGGCCCATGGACAGTTTTTATAGGTTCTTCAATTAGCATATCTGATAAGAACCCTCCAATTAGAAACCCCCTGGTGAAGTAATTCCCCAGTTCTATCCCCAGTTCCAGCACCTTGGAGGTTCCCCCCTTAGGATAAGATCCCTGTTTAGGTTTCCACCATGGTTTCTAAGTAAAACCAAGACAGACAAACCAGCAGGTGTTGTTTTTTTGTTTCTTTTCTGCCTGGGTTAGGGTTGGGATTGGAAGCATTTGAGATGTTGTTTTGTGTTTGGACTCAGATGTTTATTATTTCTTATCTGTATTACAGTCTTGTGAGTTCTACAGTGTTTAATGACCAAGCTATAAAAGGGCTCTGTATTTATTTCTACAAGGTCTTTTAAGGAAAAAGTATCTAATTAAGAAATATCACAAATTATTTTTACTTTTTTACTTTTACTTTTAATCTAATAACTAATCACCTATGTTCTGCAACGTGGACTTTTCTGTCTAATTACAAAATACCACCCAAACCCGGGAAGAAGAAGGACTAGCTACTGTCTTAAAACTTTTATCTGAGTTATATATATATAAAAATACATTCTAAAAACTTGAAACTCCAAGTTTTCTATCATCACGTGACATTACACACATCTATTCAAACTATATACTCATAATCTTAGTTCTGCTGCTGCCCACGCTGGGCACGGATGGATTTTGGGACTGGGAGCAGGAGCATCTGTGGGGAGAAGGGGAAGGCCAGAGCCAGAGCAGGATCACCCGGCCTGGACAGGGACAAAGCCACCTGGGGGAGGTGGCAGATGTCCCCACTGCTCCTGCTCCTGCCCCCAAGCTGGCACCTTTCTCCCTGGGCCCAAGGCAATGGGAACAGGCACCAAGAGGCTCCAGGCAGGGAGACACTGGCTAGCACAAGGATTCATATATAGTAAAAAGTCTTTATTAAGAAGGCTTTGAAGTCAAAAAATAAAACTCTTGATACAATTTTCATAACCGTCAAGTCAGCTCAGCAAATATATAATCAGTACTTTAGCCATGTAAGGTTAAAGGTCCGTTATTTTCTTTTTAAAATAAAATATATTTTAGTTTTTAAAATTTATTCAATAAAGTACATATTTTCCTATAAATTCCCTACATATACATAAAGAGGTAAAAATAAAAAAATAAAACAAAAACAAAAACAAAGAAACTTAAAAAAAAAAAACCCAAACCTAACCAAAGGGAAAAAAAAACCAAAAACCAAACAAACAAACAAAACAAAACAAAAAAAAAAAAACCAAAACAAAAAAAACCCCAAACCCCAAACTAACCCCAAAATAAAATGGAGATAGAAATCTGTCTGGCTTTTGTGACATGGTGTGTTAACTGTGCCCCCTCCATTCCATGACCTCCTGACCTCACACATTTCTGGGCAGTTTTCACATTGGCAAAATACAAGATAGACCTGCATTACAAAAAAAAGCGTCTGCTGCTGGATGCGCTTGATGGTGGCTCCCTTGGGTCCCACCACCAGCCCCACCACGCGGTAGGGGACCCTCACCTGGATGGTGGTCTGGCCCGGCAGGTTGGGGGGCCCCTGCAAGGCCCCCGTCAGCCCGTTGACTTTGTTGCGCGTGGCCCGAATCATGGAGAAGTGCTCGGCGGCCGAGAGGATCTCCCGCTTGGCCATCTCCACGTCCTCCTTCCTGCCCGTGACGATGAACACGGGCTCCTCGCCCCTGACCGGTGTCTTGATGTACGTGTTGGTTTTGGCACGCAGGGCTTTGATTTTGCAGCCTGTGGGGCAAGGAGAAGGGAGAAAAATTACACGTCAATGCTGGGGCCTCACAGTGACCCTCTGCTCACCCAGGGTGGGGACACGGTGGACCACCAGGAACCAGCAGGTCCCTCTGGCTCTGCACCTGCAGCATGGACAGCCTTGGAGAGAGGGGTCCCTCCCGCCTCCGAGGCAGATGGGGGCTCATGGCTCAGTGCTGGGGGGCTGCCCTGGCTCCTCCCAGCTCCTGGCACTGTTCTGACACTCAGGGATTGGGGATCAGCAGGATGCAGTCTGCAGCCCTGCTCCAAAGGGCTGTGGCAGGTGTGGGCAGAGGCGCCAGGGCAGGCAGTCATGGGGCACCATCAGGGCCACTGAGCAGGTGAGAAGCTGGATTCGCCCCAGAGGTGCTTAAGGAGGTACAAAGAGAAGAAAGATGCCAAGATGGAAAGGAATGGAAAAGGCTGTTTGGATCCTGCAGGTCCACTGACACCTCTGAGCCAGCTGCTGAACCTGAGGAACAGCCCTGGATGCCCTCCAGGAGGGACAGGGGAGCTGGACCGTCCCCAGGTGGGGGACACAGCCACCCCCTCCTCTCCCTGTCCAACGGGAGGGCTCCCCCATGCCTGGGCTGGGGCAGGGGTGCTCCCAGGGCTCCTGCTCTGCCTGTTCTGGAAAGTTCTGCTTCCCCTGCAGGAGGAACGTGATTCAGCAGGCAGAGCTGCCCACGGCTGGCTGTGGGATTGCGAGATGGGGCTGCAGCTTTGCCTTGGCCCCATGCAGCCCTGGGCACAACCCTGGGCACGGCCCTGCCCTGGCCCAGCTGGGCTCTGGCTGTGGCTCTGGCAGCATCGTCCAGCCAAAGGCTCCTGCTCTCCTCCGGGGCTGCAAAAGGCTCCAGCTCTCCTCCAGGGCCCCTTTGCTCTGCCCCAGTGAGGAGCAGTCTGTGGCTGCCAGCCCAGCCCCACTCCCTGCACCTCCAGCCCTAATTGCATCCACTCTTAATTAAGTCCCCGCGAACCAGGCACAGCGTGACTGAGCTCAGTGACCGCTGGCACACAGCAGTGAGGGACCCCCTCTGTCCCTTCCCACCCCTAAGCTTTGCAGGGCATCCAGCACGAAGCTGGGAGCCAGCAGGGATGGAGGGTGCTCCCCTGGAGCCCAGGGCTTGTCCCTGGCCATGGCCAGCGCTGCTACAGATCCCTGTGGATAAACAGCTCGGCTCCTCCGGGCACAGCCAAGCAGCTGCAAGTGCCTGGCTGGCTCAGGGCACTCCTTCCCCTCCTCCTCTTCCCAGACGCTCCCCGAGGAAGGGCAGGGCTGCTCTTCCAGCTGTGAGGCTGGAGAAGGAAAGGCCTAGAAGGCTGAAGGGCCTCAGCACATGAAAGATGCAGAGCTGCTGGAGAGAGTCCAGAGATGCTGCCAGGGCTGGAGCCCCTCTGCTCTGGAGCCAGGCTGGCAGAGCTGGGGGTGCTCACCTGGACAAGAGAAGGCTCCAGGCAAAGCTCAGAGCCCCTGGCAGGGCCTGAAGGGGCTCCAGGAGAGCTGCAGAGGGACTGGGGACAAGGCCTGCAGGGACAGGACACAGGGAATGGCTGCCACTGCCAGAGGGCAGGGCTGGATGGGATCTTGGGCAGGAATTGTTCCCTGGCAGGGTGGTGAGAATTGGGTTTCTGTAGCCAGGTTTTGGTAGCAGCGAAGTTACAGGGGTGGTCTCTGTGAGCAGCTGCCAGAAGCTTCCCCTATCTCCACAGAGCCAATTTCAGGTGGCTTCAGGATGGACCTGGCATTGGCCAAGGCCCAGCCCAGCAAAGATGGTAGGGACACCTTGGGATCATGGATTTAAGAAGGAAGAAAGGTCTTGAGCAGCTGTAATTGGGTCTAGAGCAGAGCAGGGTTAGAACATGTGAGAGAAGCAGCTCTGCAGTCACCCAGGGCAGGGCAGGAGGAGGGGCAAGAGCTGAGATTCCCCTGCGGGCTCTGGGGAAAACCATGGTGAAGGCCATGGAAGTCCACAGGGGTGTAGATGCACCTGCAGCCCCAGGAGGAGCCCACAGGGAGCAGGGGCATGCCCAAAGAAGGCTGTGAGCCTGAGGGAAGCCTGAGCTGGAGCAGGGTCCTGGCAGGGACCTGCAGCCCCTGGAGAGAGGAGCCCACACTGGAGCAGGTTTGCTGGAAGCACTTGTGACCCCAAGGGGACCCGGGCTGGGACAGCGTGTGCAGACCTGTGTCCCTGGGAGGGACCCACACTGGGGCAGGCTCCAACTCCTCTCCCTGAGCAGCAGCAGCAGCAACGGGGGATGAAGTGACTGTGATCCCCATTCCCATCTCCCTGCACTGCTGGGAGGCACAGGGAGAGCCCAGGAAGGAGGGATGGGTAAGGGGAAGGTATTTTAAAGATTTCTTTTACTTCTCATGGCCCTGCTCTGATTTTGTTAATAATAAATTCAATTAGCACCCCCAAGCTCCAGTCTGTTTTGCCCTTGTCCATACTGGGTGAGGACAAGGTGATCTCTCCCTGCCCTTATCTCAACCCATGAACCCTCTGCTGTATTTTCTCTCCCCTGTCCACTTGTGGAGGGCAGTGATGGAGCAGCTTTGGTGGGTGCCTGGAACCAGCCAGAGTCAACCCACTAGAGTGAAACAGGGTGCCCAGAGCAGCTGTGGCTGCCCCTGGATCCCTGGCAGTGCCCAAGGCCAGGCTGGACAGGGCCTGGAGCAGCCTGGGACAGTGGAAGGTGTCCCTGCCATCGCAGGGGTGGCACTGGATGGGCTTTAACATCCCCTCCAACCCAAACCATTCTGGGATTCTGTGACTCAGCCAGGGCTGGAATGGCACAAGAAGTTGAGTCAGGTCTGTCCCAAGCAGGAAAATCAATCCAGGCTCTCCAGCAGAGCAGAGGGGGAACAAGAGCTGTGCTGCTCCTGCAGCCCCAGGAGTGCTGCAATCCCAGGGCACTAAGCCTTGGGGATGACAAGTAAAAAACTGTCACAGTAAGTGGTGTCACACTGGGTGGTGTCACAGCCAGGCTCCTCAGCACCACCAAGCCCTGGCAGGTGGATTTATGGCTGGGGCACACGGCACAGCAACGGCCCAGGGACTGGGGCAGGGCAGAACCATCAAAGGTGACATTTACTGAAACCATTACCATGTGCCAGCTCCTACAGGGCTGTCCTGGGAGAGGCACCTGCAACTCCCACGTTCCCCTCCCAGACTGATCCTGGTACCTGCTGCAGGATCTGCCCCTGCTGCACTGCTGGGCGCAGCAGGACCAGCCCAGGGCAGAGGGAGGAGGCTCTGCTGTGCCTCCCACGGGCACCAGCCTCATGCCCATGGTCCCAAATTCATTCTTTGCAGCATCACAGAACCATGAGTATCTCAGCTTGGAAGGTACCCTCAGGGATCATCAGCCCAACCCCTGTCCCTGCACAGCCACCCCAACAAGCCCACCCTGAGCATCCCTGAGAGCTCCTGGAGCTCTGGCAGCCTTGGGACCATTCCCTGGGCAGCCTGGGCAGTGCCCAGCTCTCCCTGAGCTCCACCCCAACCCTCCTCAAAGGGCAGTTTCAGGATGCAAAGCCACTGGCAGCTCCAGGAGCCACAGAAGCCACTCAGGAGCCACATCCCCCACGGGGCCATGGCCCAGTGAGGCTCTTCCTCACCCCACTCCATCACACCAGCAGCACCAGTGGGACCCAAATGATGCCATGGCAGCACCAAAGAGGAGGGATGGGTAAGGGGAAGGTATTTTAAAGATTTCTTTTACTTCTCATGGCCCTGCTCTGATTTTGTTAATAATAAATTCAATTAGCACCCCCAAGCTCCAGTCTGTTTTGCCCTTGTCCATACTGGGTGAGGGGTCTCTCCCTGCCCTTATCTCAACCCATGAACCCTCTGCTGTATTTTCTCTCCCCTGTCCACTTGTGGAGGGCAGTGATGGAGCAGCTTTGGTGGGTGCCTGGAACCAGCCAGAGTCAACCCACTAGAGTGAAACAGGGTGCCCAGAGCAGCTGTGGCTGCCCCTGGATCCCTGGCAGTGCCCAAGGCCAGGCTGGACAGGGCTGGGAGCAGCCTGGGACAGTGGAAGGTGTCCCTGCCATGGCAGGGGTGGCACTGGATGGGCTTTAACATCCCCTCCAACCCAAACCATTCTGGGATTCTGTGACTCAGCCAGGGCTGGAATGGCACAAGAAGTTGAGTCAGGTCTGTCCCAAGCAGGAAAATCAATCCAGGCTCTCCAGCAGAGCAGAGGGGGAACAAGAGCTGTGCTGCTCCTGCAGCCCCAGGAGTGCTGCAATCCCAGGGCACTAAGCCTTGGGGATGACAAGTAAAAAACTGTCACAGTAAGTGGTGTCACACTGGGTGGTGTCACAGCCAGGCTCCTCAGCACCACCAAGCCCTGGCAGGTGGATTTATGGCTGGGGCACACGGCACAGCAACGGCCCAGGGACTGGGGCAGGGCAGAACCATCAAAGGTGACATTTACTGAAACCATTACCATGTGCCAGCTCCTACAGGGCTGTCCTGGGAGAGGCACCTGCAACTCCCACGTTCCCCTCCCAGACTGATCCTGGTACCTGCTGCAGGATCTGCCCCTGCTGCACTGCTGGGCGCAGCAGGACCAGCCCAGGGCAGAGGGAGGAGGCTCTGCTGTGCCTCCCACGGGCACCAGCCTCATGCCCATGGTCCCAAATTCATTCTTTGCAGCATCACAGAACCATGAGTATCTCAGCTTGGAAGGTACCCTCAGGGATCATCAGCCCAACCCCTGTCCCTGCACAGCCACCCCAACAAGCCCACCCTGAGCATCCCTGAGAGCTCCTGGAGCTCTGGCAGCCTTGGGACCATTCCCTGGGCAGCCTGGGCAGTGCCCAGCTCTCTCCCTGAGCTCCACCCCAACCCTCCTCAAAGGGCAGTTTCAGGATGCAAAGCCACTGGCAGCTCCAGGAGCCACAGAAGCCACTCAGGAGCCACATCCCCCACGGGGCCATGGCCCAGTGAGGCTCTTCCTCACCCCAC